AAGGTCAAACTGATGTGATCAGTAAATACATCTTTTTAAACGCCACAACTTTTGTCTGAAACATTTTTTTGTAAAACTTATATTTTTCCTGATATTCGGGCGTCCCGGTACTTTCCGAACACCCTGTATATATACACACGATCTGTCAAAAGACTCCGCGAACTCATTCAAGACTTCAATATGTGGCTGGGAGCACTTAACTTTAGTGTCCCTATGCCATTGCTTATCCGCAAACTCATGGAGATTTACAACTTCAATAGTGTCGCCAATTCACAGAATTAATGTTCTGTTACTCAGGGGTTTTCGTTGGTACCAACATATTCCCTATCTAGTTTTCGGCATAATGTCGCGTAACCTAAAAATATAGTAATTTTCTAGAGAATTTATGAACGCGACGCAAGAAACTTACTTATGGATAGACTTCATTCAGATTAGTTTATGGTTTTCAATCAATTTGTGAGTGACGGTTAACCGGGTTAACGTATAGAGGATCTAATTGATAAAAAATTTTTGTCTTTTGTGATCCCTTTCAACAATATTTTTGCCACTCGTGTATAAATTAATCAATAAAGAAATGTCATAGTCAATCCTATATAGGTATGTATTGTAATATAAATAAATATACATATGATAAAATATCGACTTTTATTCCACAGCAAAAAAAGAAGAACTGCACGAGCTTCACAGTTACAGTTGACAAAAATGGTTAATTTTTTTTACTTAAATAAGGGTCTCGCAGAAGGAAAGTTTAATACTCTACATGGAAAAGAAGAATCTCAGCAAAAGTGGAAAAAATTAGCAAATGAATTGAATTCTTTTCAAGGAGCGACAAAAACGGTTGAACAATGGCAAGTGGTATGAAAAATTATATATGCATATATTTATTATAAGTTCCAAATCTTGCAAGTTCTGTGTGATAACATATGAATCTGTTCATATACATATTTCAGGTTTGGAGGGACTTAAAAAGTCGTACTTCTATTAAAGTTAAAGATCTGCGGAAGGCGAAAAGGTTGACAGGGAATAAAGCTATTACACTAACAGATTTGACGGAACTTGAACAACGTGTAATTGGAGTGATAGGAGCCGAGTACGTTGAAGGAAGTAAATGTGCAGACAGTATCCCTGATGAGGAGGTAATTTTTATAAACTTTTAAATAATATATATGTCGTAATATATTATATTAGTAATTATATTAGTAATGTTTTTTTACGTATATACAATACTTATTTGTCTATGCATATAGAATTTGCTGGAAGAACTTGAACATGGAAACAATTCAGTTTTATCAGAGATTCCACAAGTAATATTAGGTGGTAAACTTAGTTCCTGCGGCTCATAGTTAGATGATGTTAGTTGTAGGTGTAATTTATTTTGACATCTGAAACTGGCTGCATTTTAGAGGTTAGACATTTGTCAATAAAATTCAGTGCGAAGAGATTCATTTAAGCGAGCAGTGCTATTTTTTCTTTTGATTAAATATGGAACGTGATAAGTTGTTTTTTCGACATGTGCTGCTTCATTACTTTGACTTGAAAAAAACTGCAGCTGCAGCTCATAAATTGCTTTTCGAAGCTTATGGCAATTATG